CCTTTTTTCACCTCATTAGGGGTCAGTGCATTCAGCTTCGGTCTTCCCCGCACCGTGTTTCGATGGGTGAGTGCCATACGGTTAACGACCAGCCTACAGCCATCAGACAGGTTTTATCTGGTATAAGAGTCAGGGAGGACAGGTCGGGACACGACTTATGGCGCAATCGGACTCAATTTTCAATGATTTCTTTAATTTCTTAAATAATAAAAAATTCAAAGGGTTCTTTTTGAAGTCACACTGTGTACCCCTTTCAATTCTCTTGATGCCTGTGCCTTCCCCCCTGTTTGAACCTTGTGATTACTCCCTTACAAAACCTTACGATGAAGCAAAGTATCGGCTGAAAGTTTTCTTAGGCTCTGACAATAGTATAGACTTTGTACGATGCCACTATCTCTTTGACGTAAACTTCTTAGCTTTTGCACTTTACTTACCGACATATCAAAGCTTCATCAGCCAAAGTCTGAAATAGACTGGACTAATTTTTCCATTTTTCTTGTATTTTACAAATTTGGTACAGGTAACAAAAAAATTAATTATGGAATTTGGTCTCTATATTCACAAAGGGGCTTCAGAATGTTGCCAGGATACTCAGAAAAATAGTGGCCATCCTATCTTGTGCTTACTTTGCCTCTGAGATGGCCTTCAACATTGATTCAAGATACAATGTAAAATCATCGTTTTTCTCTTAAATTTTATGACTTAAAGCACTTGAGGCAGAAGGAGCATCTCCTCCTGAAGGTTTTAAGCTTTGGAGGACTGCAATCGGACCACAAGTTTGCTCGCAAAGTGCGAATGTAGAAAAATCTGTATTGCTCTCCGCTGCCATTTCCTGGTTACGTGTCCTCTTAGGGAATTCTTCTGGATTTCCTCTGTAAATTATGTGTGGGGGCTCATTGGAATCAGTATTTATAGACGGTTTTGATAGTCACGATTCGATACCGAACTATTCGCACATCCCTAGAAGAAGGGAATGACCGCTAGACGTTGGTGGAGTGATCCAGCTATGGGTACTTGCAGTTACCCCCGTTCCAGCGCCACAAGAGGCCGTCTCGCCCAAAAATTTGTTTGTCACACAACTCAAAAGGGAAACCAGTGGAGTGTTCCGCACGCGAGCTACTCTGTGTGATGACTATCCTTACCTTTATTGAATCAGATTTGTCAGAGGTCTGCCACGTCAACATCTCCTATGGTGATGTACTGTGTATACTGTAACGGAGTTGCAACAACCCGATGCGAAGACGAGGCCATGGAGCGATGCGACGTCGAAAACCACGAGGTGGTGAGCCATTCCTGTGAGGCAGACGAACACAGCGTTAAGATCTTATGTGTCATTCCTCCATACGGCAGTACGTCAGCCCAAGCACGGCAACACTCCACTCCACTCGGTTTCCATAGGTACAAAGATAGTCACATCCTGTATATACTATGCCTGGGAGGACATGCGGACGTCCGCGAGAGGCAACGGGACGATGGGCCCAGCCCTGGCATCGTCATCGATACGGGGTTGAAAGTGACGGAGTTGTATAGGGAAAAGCAATATTTCTTTCAAGACGCGAATCGCGAGTAGCTCGAAACTCTTAAAATCGGCCGAATTGGAAGTCAGAGGTGCGGCCCCCGTCACTGTTCCACCGTTGGTTACAGTAGCGCCACCTGTCGCGGGCCCTCGAAACACCGGTGGTTTTGACTGGGGGCAGGATGTGAGCTTTTTTTTTTTTTTTTTTTTTTTTTTGTGGGCGTTGGATTCGAACGTCTTTTATAGAGCTTACTTCTGAATTATGCCTAACCTGAAAAGCGACACTTAGTAAAATACCAAAAACATAACCACTCAATCGTTGACTTGGGAGTATCAGGGGAGTCATCTGCAGCCCCTTTCCAATGATGGAGGGGGAAATAAAAATATTCATATATGTCAAAATATTCACAGATTGCAAAATAGTTGCAAAAAAGGACATAGGGAGGTAAAGACCAATACTCAAACAAACAGAATCTAAAACCGATTTTAAACACCATTTATTTCAACAGGTCGGTCGCTATTTCTGACAAGATGTAATTTGCAATTCAATGTAACAAATCCTAGCTTAGAAGGACAATATTTAGACCATAACAGCAGCTTTTGAACTTCTCAAGGAGCCTTCCAAAGGCTTTGTGGACATGTTCTGTCAGACATATACAGACCACAAAGCTGTCTTGGCTTTCTTTGTGGTCTGTATATGTCTGACAGAACATGTCCACAAAGCCTTTGGAAGGCTCCTTGAGAAGTTCAAAAGCTGCACAGTAACGAGTAACAATACAATTTATAGATGTGGTTCATTTATAATTGCTAGAAGAACATAAAAACACAAATCACAACAGATTTTTTTAAAACTCTTTCAAAAGTGGTTTGCACACTACTTCATCAATCAACCAATCCGAAGCATCACACCACCTACTGAAGATAGGACGGGCCCTTAATTACCACTGCAATAAATCTGGAAGTGAAATTTGTTCCTGCTTAATTCTATACAAATTTTATCTTCAGTCTGACAACTAGAAGTGAAATGGAATACAATGACACCAAAATGGACACCAACAAATGATATTGAGGCCCTGGTCAGGGACCAGAGAAATAACCCTTCCAAAAATACATTGCTGGTCAAATCACCTCATTTCAAGCAACACACACAGGAATTGGAATTTGGAAAAATTGATAGCTTATTATCATTCTTGACCTCTGGTCTTTGGTATACTTTCCAGCTTTGTTAGCCACATAAGACTCCCACTCACGCAAATAGCCCAGGAATTCTTCCTCCAAGTAGTCAAAGCGGGAGTCTCCTACCTCAGTGTATTCTAGAAGGTTTGGGTTTGTAGCTCTTTTCTTGCTATGAACACCACCATTCAGGCAGTCAAAAGCCTTATTCATGTGCCTGATAAACTTGACTAGTTCTTCAGAATATTCTTCTTTAAGTGGGGACTTGTTTTTGAATTTTTCAAGAGCATCTGTAGCATCTGTAGATGAGGTTTACTTACCAGTTAACTGTAAAAATTTGTTGTCACTTTATGACAAAAACATGGATGACATTTTCATCACTTTGAAATGATGACAATCTCGTCACAAATTGATGACGTTTCCATCAAAGCTCCTATACTTATTGCATGGGCGTGACAACAATGTCATCAATTGACTTGATGACATCCTTGTATGGAAAATTAGCCTTGATATTGTCATCAAGTGACGACTCAAATTTTCACAGTGTTGCGGTGAACGCCTCCCGCAGTTCTGCGCGTAAAAGCTGCATAGTAATCTGCTTATCTTCGTTGAACAGTTGAGCTACCTCCGCTCCTGCGCAATAAAAAAACGTAATGATTAGTAAAGATTTGAGAAATTCCGTGAAAGGCAGCCAAACGATATTTTACTACCGAAAACTACCGAAAATTACCAAATGGAATGAGGCCGTTTACACGGCGCCCCAAGGCCTCGATGACTTGTTGTTGCACTGTCTCTGGAGATCCTGTGGCATCCACGACTGCATGAAGTCCTGGTTCGTTCTCCATCCAGTTGTCCAGAATAAGATGAAGCTGTTGAATGTAATCCTTGGACAGTGTGTTTTCTTCATCCCTTGCCCTTTGTTGAATCCTTTGGTAAGCTGTCGTGGCACTGCCTCGAAGATACAGAAAATATTCCTTTCTCTTGTACTGGTTTTGTCCGTATGTCAGACAGAGCCTTGAAAATGGTATGAGTGACTGCGTTGCACCGCGTGGTGCGTTGTTTTCTTTCGTTGTGAAGCATTATTTGAATGAGTGTATTTTCGATTGAGGTTTTTAGCATGATGACTCCAGGTGTGGTTAATTCTATTTTTATTTGTGGGTTGAGTGACTTGACAGTGAATGTATGTAGGATGAATGAGAGTTCCCTTGTGGTGGTGCCGAAGAGGCATTCGTGGCTACATTTTAGACTTTGAACTGAAGCACCAAGATTTATCAACCATCTATTGTCTGGGGGCAGGCATGCATTCAGTTCAGCCACGCACTTGACGGCCTCGTCTTGTGCTGTTGTCCGTTTCTCTTTTGTCTGCGTTGTATTTGACTTGAATGCGTGCATAGATATGACTATGTTATTGTTGCTTGTGGCTGGAGGTAGAGTTGGTACTTTCCTAGATCCTGCTTCCAGCATGTATTGTCTGCTTGCAGTATCAGTGGGTATGGTGTCGGTCCAAACTCCGGCTGGTGTTTGTGAGATGTACGTGCTTAGTGCATGTTCTGGCCTATTTTGAGTTGTGACAACTTCGTTGGCATTGTTCTGCGCAATGTCCCTGTCGATTATGTCTGAGATTCTGGATTACTTCGTCTCGAACTTCAAACTGTTCCTCTGTGAACGGGAGTGCTAACCTGGAATCATATAACGGTGGTGGTGTTTGGTATGTGTCTTGTGTGTACGAAGTACTTGGTCCCGGTTGGCATGTATCCCAGTTGTACAAAGTACTTGGTCCCGGTTGGCATGTATCCCGGTTGTACGAAGTGCTTGGTTCTGGTGTTTCTGTGAATTCGTATGGGTCGTGTGTGTTGCATTGTTCTGAGGTGGTTGTGTTGTGTAAGTGTTCTTCGTAATGTATTTCACTGTTAAGTTCGTCTTTTGGCTCTGTTTTTACGGGAACGTCCACTAGGTACTCAAATATTTCTACTCCTGCTGGAAGTTCTTCGTCTTGTTCCGTGGTGTTTCCTGCTCTGCGAGGACTCCTGCGCACTTTGAGTGCATGGGGCCCGGTTGTAGCTTCACTCATTACGCCGACCTGCATAGGCCTATCAGCGCTGATGATGATGATGCCTCCTGTTTGGAAGCCGTGCCCCTGGCCTCGGTTTGTACTTTTGCCTCGGGCGGCTCCTCGTCCTCGAGCTGCGCCTTGGCCTCGGGCACGCCCTCCGCCTCTGGTTCGGTGTTCGCTTCGGCCAACATCGCCGCCAGGGCCTGGAACGGAGTTTGTAGTAATTCCACTGAGTGTCGTGCTTTCTCGGGTGTATGTATGGTTTGTATGTGTATGTATGTCTCCTCGCCACTGGTGAATGGTGTGTGTACTGGTATGAGTGACTGTATTTCTTTGGTGTCTAAGTTGTATTGTGTATAGCCGACGAAATGTGTGATTTGTAGTTTATGTTTGTCATCGTTGGTGGTGCCTAGCGGCCATGTTCCGTGTTCTAACATTTGCAGGAACACATCGCAGTCTAGCAGTTGATGTCGGAAGACTAGACATTCTACTGCGGCGGACACGCTTAGGAGCATGTCGGGGTGTATTAGCTGCCTTGTTTGAAGAAGCCAGATCTCAAGGTCGAATTGTTTTGCTGCGCACACTGTATTTGTGCAGGCTTTTTGAGCTAGCTGGATTACGTGGGCGAACTCGTATGCATATTCTTCTAGTGCAGTCGCACCCGCCGTCTCGTCAGCCAAGTATAGGGAGGCCAGTAAGAGTTGGCAGGCTTGCTGCAGAATAGCATCTGTTAAACAGGAAGTGATACCAATCACTGACCTTTTCGCAAATTGGAGCGGTGGGCATTCGTGTAACCCGTCCGCATTTGTGGTGGATTGCAGGAGGCGAAGGAGTTGCCCTATGCACCTTGTCGCTTTTCTTTTTATGTTATCGTTGCATGGCAAACTTTTGCATAATTCCATGAAAGTTTCAATATGTGAACAGAATTATATCTTATGCTTCGCCTGTATGTATTATAAGATATCGGTTATATCTGTTAAGAATTATACCTGAGGAGATATCGTGTTAATCAACAAAAATTATTTATGCGTTATGTGTGATGAGAATTATGCTTGATGGGATTATACCTGATGGGACCTTATACCTGAAGAAGACTACTCAAAAAATTGTTAAAAAAAAATGTTTTTTATTTTTTTTCTTGAAAACTATTGCAGATATGAAGCCCATTCTAGTCAATTCTGTGACACTACTGCACTGTAAAAAATTATGTTGTAATTTAGCAGTAAATATGTTGCTAATTTTCTTAGCGATCAAAGTTGTTTTCAAATGACTTTCGTTGTTTACTAACGAGTTGCGTCGTTCGTCCACAAGATGTTTGTAAACCGGTAGACAGCCTTATTTGCATCAATTTTTATTGCCGATCAGGTCACAGACCTAGTAAAGTCCCGGTTACCCCGCAGTAACCATTTCTTAGATTGTCCGGGTTGTTTGTACGCAGCAAAATATTGTTTTGAAACAGCATGAGTCATAAAAATAATTAGCAACGAATTCGTCGTTTTAAAACAAGCAAACTTGTTCACAAACAACAACGTTCTCGAGGTTGGTAATTGTGTTGTTGTTTTAAAACAACAATTTTTAACAGTGTGGGGATGAGTCTCCCTGATTTTTTCCCCACAGATCTGAGCAAGTATGCTAACAAAATCTTACGAGAAGCAAAATTTTAAACGTTTCGACTAAATCTCCAAAAAATGTCCAAAGTCACTTTCCCTTAAGCCAAAATGAAGCTTACTCAATTATCTAAAAGGATTTTAACACAGAAATTGTAAAATCTTAATCCGTCTACATCAAATTTTTTTTTAAAAAAAGTGCTTTTAACATGTATGAGCCCCCTTAAGATGGTTCAAGTTCAGTTGTACAGTGCTGAGAAGTGTTCTTCGAGTCTCACAGCCTCTAACTGCTCTACAAATCAAAGAGTGTACACAGTATGCTCTAACTGGAGCGTGCCTGCAAGCACGCTCTAGCTAGCGCATGCCTACCAAGCATGCACTAACTAGTGCATACATGCCATGTACACGCTTCCTGATGCAGAAAGCTCCCTATCCCTTATGTAGTAAATGTATGCTTCAGTTAGCGTGTACATGGCATGTATGCACTAGTTAGTGCATGCTTGGCAGGCATGCGCTAGTTAGAGCGTGCTTGCAGGCATGCTCCAGTTAGAGCGTACCATGTACACTCTTTGATTTGTAGAGTGGACTTGAACTTGAACCATCTTGAACTGCACATTGAACATTTTTCTGTTCATTGCACTGGACTTCTCCCTCAATCTGAAATTACTGCTCTCCAAAAAATTAATTATTATTCTTTCCATTTTTTCAAAATCTTTAGCCATTTGCATGACCACCTAAGGATTCAAAACAACGGTTATGAGATGTATGAGACACTTTCCGCTCCGGCCTCGAGGGCAAGGACAGTCGTACTAAAACTATCAAGGCTGCACTTTCATGGTGTACAGGTCAACTCCTCTTCTTATCACTGTGGCATATTATTACTTGTAAGTATTTTCCCATCCTTATTTTGCCTGAAATTATTGCTCTCCAAACATTTATCAATTTTTCTTTCCACCTTCTTTTCATTTCAGCCATTGGCAGGACCAACAGAAAATTTTATTGTCTACTCAGGTCTGTGACGAACATCTGGCTATGCTGCAGCCTTGAAGAAATGAATTGAATTGGAAAACTTGGGTCGCAAATGAGAATAGACTATGACTAAATACTCGAACCACAACTGTGATCCTTAGTTAATCAGTTCATTTATTTTTACTCTTTCTATACATCAACCAAAAACAAAGTAGTCATCTAAAGAGAACGAGTATTGTGCTCAACACTGTAATTTGGTGATGTGATTCACATTGAAATGTACAACAGATATGGATTCAACAATATTCCAATTAGACAGCCCTTGACACAGTTAACAGAAAAACTATGAGGTTTTTTTCAACTTTTTATGTAAAATTTGGAGAAAATGGCGTTATAAAAGTGTGAGTGGTCTGTGGCTGAAGTTGTTCAATGGTGATCTTATCTTGACTTTTGCCATTGAATGTGAAGAGAAAAGCATATGAAATGATGATAGGAAGCAACTTCAGAATGTAATATACAATATATATCTCAGGTTTTTCTGTAATCAGTGTGCAAATTTTGATGAAAATTGGATTTTATATATGAAGTGACCCATTCGTTTCCTTTGGCTTCTTGTTCAATTTTGTAATGTTCTTTTAACTGGAGGGCAAACCCCTTACTTGAAGCTACATGGGTGATTAAGGTTACCAGAAGTTGCTTGAATCTTTGAAAACGAAAATTGCCTATATAATCTGAACGGTGCATATTTCGGCCCAAAAAATTTGTGGCCTTTCTTAGACCTACAAGGACTACCTTTGACCAAAAAATAGAGGAAATCGGCATCGGTCGTGTTCCACGATCGGACTTCTTAAAAAAAAAAATGCCTCTAGCGCTCTTATAAATCTGTGTTTTCTGAGGGATCTTGCAGTATTCTCCGTAGGACCCTACAGTCTACGGACAACACTGCAAGGTCCTACGGAGAAGACTGTACGGATCTACGGAGAATAGGGTACTTCGGAGGAAATCTAGAACGGAAATGAAGAAGAAATTAGGAAGAACGAAGTATGCAAAATGCATGAGAAGCAGCGCCGGTTTGTCGCTTCCGCAGAGCTGTATTTTCTTTCAAGTTGGCCATTCCTTCTTCTTGATTTCTTCTCAACTTCCGTCCCAGCTCTTCCGTTTTTGTTCTTTTGGGCCAGAGCTTCCTTGGAGTACTCTACCAGTCGGCTGGGCCCTGCTGGGGAATGGAAAGGTTGGCCGTGGCCTTGTGTGTGCGGAACCGCCCTGCTGCAGACTGACTCCGAGTCACCTTCGTCGCTGTCTCTCTCGCACTCATGGGGCGTGCCGTTTGGTTGCGAGGGAGACAGCGACGAAAACTGTTCTCGGAATCAGTCTGCTGCTGGCGTAACACGACAGGTCGAGACCTGCTCGCTCACCCCGTCCCTCACGCCCTGCAGGTCCCGTCTCTCTCGCGCCCAGTCGGAACGCTCTGCGAGTGAGAGAGAGGCGCTTCCCGCTCGGAGTGAGTCTGCAAGTCGCAGCAAGCCAAGGAGGCGAGGGGAGGGGGACAGGCAGGGAGGGAGGCTGCGCGTCGCGGCGGGGGAGGGCAGCCAAGCCGCGACCGCCGCGCCCCGCCGCCGCCAGTTGAGCCCCAGCCGTCCGCCGGTGCAGGCGCGTCGTGCGTCCCGCTGCGGCGCGGCCCGCGAGACAGGACCACGAGCAGTCGCGCCGACGCGGTGCTCACAGCTCAGGAAAGCACGGCCTCTGTGAGTTCTCGTGGTCGAGGGCCACTGCCTCCTTGGCAACCACTGCCGTGGCCCTCGACCGCGAGGACTCACAAAGGCTTTTTCACTGGTAAAAGTGTGGCATTGTGCTCCTGGTAGTTGCCTGTCTGGCGGTGCAGTGGGGGAGACGGTCAACTTCGAGGGACGGGGAGACGTCTGAGTAGGCTCCGAAGTAGTTTTGGTTGTTTTGCTTCTTCGACTTGCGGTCCAGACGTTTGCTACGATATCCCATCAGTGGCCGCCGTCTTCGCGGAGACTCCTCTTGTCTTCTTGTTTCGCCAGCAGCGTAGTCTTCATTACTCTTCGGTGGTCGTTTCCTCTGCGTAGTCGTTCCTGCCGTCTCGACCGGCCGTGTGGTTGGTTGCTCGGCCCGGCGGTGTTCCCAGAGTCTTGCAACGGGGCGAACATTGCTGCCGTACCTCAGCGCAGCTGTGTTCGTTCGCCTGGAGAAGTGAGCTCTTGGAGCAAGTGCGTTCTATTGCAACACAGCAAACGTTACTGTTGAAATTCAGATCGTTGCTTTGATGCACTGTAACGTACGTGTTTCAAAAGCTCACCGTTCTCGGTGTTCCTTTGCAGTCGTAAGTACCTGGCATACCACGGAGTGCTCCTTACTCGCAACGAAGCAGAGATAAGGCAACTTCGGACGTGGGCAACTACTCAAATTGTGAATAAGGGAAAAAATTTAGAGTGCGAACCCATAGCAGACAAAACCCACTGCAATGAACGTCGTGGCGACCCGGGGCAGCTCGAGGCCCAAGGCGATCGCGGTTCTCCGTCCTGGAGAAGAATAACCCAGCGCTGAAATTCTTCTTTTCTTGATCAGTAACAGCCAGTGGCTTCTCCTCACAT